ATGGCAAAGCAGAGGTTCCCTTGGATCTGAAAGAAATATATCCAATTTCAAGTGGATACCTTCAAACTAATAAAAAAGCTGCAGTGGAAATCCTCCCTCTATGTCATTGTGTTTCAAGTTGGCATTTATAAAATCTTTAGGTCAAGATCAGGTCAAAGGGAGCCTTCAGTAGAATAACTGATTTGATCAAAATTGATTGACTTCTTCAAGGTCTATCACAGAATTAACAGTGAAATTTAAAATACCAATCAATTAACTGCAGCCCACATATGAACCTTAGCAACCTGAAGTTTTAAAAGTCTCTGCATTCACCAGGACTCTTTAGGTAAAGATTAATGAAGCTCGTTTCACAATATCTTTTCAGCAAGAGCTACATTTTTCTCTTCAGTGTTTAGGAGGCCTAGAATCTTGCTAGCTTCAAGCATAGCTGGATCCAGGCTCTTCCTTGTCACTCCCTTCCCCACACTGGCTCCATTTTCAGCTCTGATCTGGCTTCCTCCTCATCTGCTGAAAAGGCATATGTGTTCACATAAATATCTGCCAACAACCTCAATACCGTATCCTCACACTTTAGTAACCCCAACAGACAGAAGGCCTCCTTTTTATCCAATACCTGTACAGCGGTCCTCAACAAGAATTCTGTTTGGCCTCCTTGAGCCATAGAATGTGATCAGTTCTATGAAGAAGTGGGTCCTGGTGCACTTGGGTGGCTCAGTCAGTTAAGCTTCTGACATGGGCTCAGGTCACGCAGCATCTCCTGGTGATCAGGCTCTCAAGTCAAGAGCCCCACATCAGGCTCTCTGCTGTCAGTGCAGAGCTGGCTTCAGATCCCCTCTCTCTGCTCTTTCTCTGCCCCTCCCCCCTCATGTGGACGCACATCTGCTCTCTCTCTCAAAAATAAACATTTGTAAAAAAGAAGTGGGCTCTTCAATAACATTGCATTTGTTTCCTACGGCTGCTGTAATCAATTATCACAAACTTGGTGGCTTATGACAACACAGCTTTATTCTCTTAGCGTTTTAGAAGCCAGGTGCCCAAAATCAGTCTCACTGGGCTAACGTCAAGGAGTTAGTAGGGTCTGGTTCCTTCTGGAGCCTCCAGAGGAGGTTTTTGTTTTGCTTTTTTGTTTTTTTGTTTTTGTTTTTGTTTTTTTTTTGCCTTTTCTGGCTTCTGGAGGCCACCTGCATTCCTTGGCTCAAACCCCTTCTTTAAATCATTCTAACCTCTTGCTTCCATGGTCACATCTACTCCTTCCTCTTCCACAGTCCATTATCTGTCTACCTCCCTCTTCTGAGGACACTTGCAATGATATTTAAGACCCACCTAGAAGGGGCGCCTGGGTGGCGCAGTCGGTTAAGCGTCCGACTTCAGCCAGGTCACGATCTCGTGGTCCGTGAGTTCGAGCCCCGCGTCAGGCTCTGGGCTGAATGCTCAGAGCCTGGAGCCTGTTTCCGATTCTGTGTCTCCCTCTCTCTCTGCCCCTCCCCCGTTCATGCTCTGTCTTTCTCTGTCCCAAAAATAAATAAACGTTGAAAAAAAAAAAAAAAAAAAAAAGACCCACCTAGATAATCCAGGATAATCTCCCTATTTTAAGATTCTTAATCACATCTACAAAGTCCCTTTTGCCACAGAAGATAATATTAACAGGTTTTAAGGATTAGGGCGGGGATGTCCAGGAGGCCATTATTCAGCCTACAACAAGCATAAATCCAGGAAGGTATGGCAACCAGTGCAAACAAGTAATCACACTATCAGGCAAAGGAAGACACATTTTATGGAAGAGAGAAACCACAAATTATACAGAGAACAGAGAAACCATTTTCAGCTTCTGGGATCTGATTTGGCTTTGTGACAGATAATTATAATAATGATGACAGCAAACATTTATATTGCTCATTATGTGTCAGCCATTGTTCTAAGTGCTTTACTTATATAACTCAATTAATCTTCACAAAAAGCCATCCTCATTTTATAGAAGAGGAAACCAAGGCACAAAGATTTTAAGTGATTTGCCAAGATCACTGTGAACTAACACAGCCAGGATCTGAACCCAAGGTATCTGATTCCCAGGTGCATACACTTGACCATTTGGGATGGAACTTAAAGAATGGATTGTGAGGAAACATGAAGGGTCTTGTACAGAGAGAACAGAATGAATAAAGCACAGAAAGAAAAAGAAAGAAAGAAAGAAAGAAAGAAAGAAAGA